CTCACACTTTCTGCAGCCCCAGGGTCCCCACAGATGGGGATTAGGAAAGCATGCTTTCAATTCCCCACAGACATTCTTTTATTCCCATAGCAGGGCTTCCTGATGTCTGCAGCAGCCCACCTTCAAGGGCGATCTGGAATCTAATTATCAAGAATCAAACTGGACGTGGAATACCTTTTAGGAGACTATGCATTCAGAATAACCCTATTAAAGATCTTTTGGGAAGTGCAAAATTAGCCCCTAATTGTTCTGTTTCATAAGTACATAGAATAGACTGTAACATACCCAAAGACTATTTTTAAAAATGATAAAAACCCAAGCTTTGACTTTACTCATTCCCAACATTACTCTCCAAGATTTATGAGCCTTTATATTTTATATCAAACTACATTGGTAGCTCTATATTTGTTTTCAGTGGAGTCATTTGTTTGTAGAGGTCTATGTGAAGTTGGTCAGAGAGTAGGTGAGCTCTTAGGTTATAAGGACACACGGACACATGAGCACAGGCAGGGTGAGCTCTCTGGCCCTGTCTTAGTGTTGTTTCTCATGTTGCTGTGATAAAATATCCTGACAAAAGTAATTTATGGGAGAAAGAGTTTGTTTTAGCTTATAGTTCCAGGGTGCAGTCCACTGTAACAGGGAAACATCAGGAACTTGAAAGAAATGGTCATATCACATCCACAGTAAAGAGCAGAGACAATGAGTTGGTGTGTGCATACCTGTTCTCGGCTCACTTTCTCTTTTTGTATAGAGTCTAGGACCCAAACCTAGGGAATGGTACCTCCCACAGTGGGCTGTGTCTTCTTTGTACATCAATTAACATAATTGATGTTATGTTAATGATGGGATAATCAAGACAATCCCTCCCTCCAAAGACATGCCCATGGGCCAACCTAATCTAGACAGTTTTCACTGAGAATAACTTCCCAGTTTATTCTGCAGTGTGTCAAGTTGACAATGAAAAGCAGCACCTTCAGCTGATGGAAAGGACATTGCTCGCTAGAACTGACTGAGGTGGCGTGAGCCCAGGGCCATTCTTTATCACAGTGGTGATGGCATGGGTACATCTCACGGTAAGTCAAGTGAGGTGACGGAAGGAACGAGGATGAAAACCTGTGTGGTTATGGAGCCCTTCTTCCTGCTAGATATACAGTAGGGCTTCTGTGGTTACTGATAATTAGCTTCTCTGAAGGGTGTTGAGAGAGGCAGCACCTGTAGACATGTCCCTGGGTGCTGTAGTTTGAATGTTGAATACCCCAAAAGTCCATGTGTTAAAGGTATGGTTCCTCTTGTGGTACTATTGCGAGTTAGTGGAACCTTGCAGAAGTGGAACTACCTAGAGACCTGCAGCTCAACGTCACAGTCAGTGTATACTTAATACATCACTTCATTGATTAAAAATAAGGGCCGGGGCTGACGAAGCTCCAGTGGTATGTATGTGCATGATCTTGAAGGACAAGGGGGACACTATATGTTGGCAATTTCTCAGACCTGCATTCTGGAGGGAAGAGATTTGGCCATATGGTGTGTGTCAGCCAGCAATGTGTGTCCCAGGAGGGAGTGATGTGTAGGCATAGGAAATGTTTGTGGCTCCCCATGCCTCTCTCTGCTGTGGTTCCAGAGCAGTGCATAGCCCAGAAAGAAGATACGCTGGGGCCAGAGTGAGGAAAACACTGATGACACATGACAGATAATGGACAAGAACAAAGGAAAAACCTACACTCCCATGAGCCTCCAGAATACTGGAGCAGCTTGTAAACACAATACAACCCAGCCCACAGCCCCTGGCAACAGGCTCCATCAGCAGAAGCTTCCTGAGAGCCTTCGATAATGACATTTAAAGTCTTACATTGTCATCTTGTCCTAGAAAAGGGTTAAATGCTACTTTAAAAAACTACACCTGACTCAGTGGACTTCCAAATACATGTATTACATAACACAGGCAAAGTGGCTAGCATCTGACCTAGCCAGTGTGTGAGGAGCTTCCTGGGCAGGTCTTGGCACCATTATGAAGCAAGGGCAGGTTGCTCACGGCTTAAGTAAACCAATGTTCCCATCTCCCATGAGTACAGCACACCACAAGCAACAGCAGAGTGAGAATTAAAGCATCCTGGTCTATTAGCAACTGAGCAGGACATAATGGCCCCTGAAATAAGATGCTGGATCAGGACACATCTCTGAGGTATGCAGAGTCACCAGAATGTTCTTCTTCCCCCTATTCCTTCCTTACCCACCCACCCCCAAGTTGAAGTCTTAATTCTAGGACTTTCCATCCTGTCTGCAGGGGGTGGAGGAAGAGGCTCTGAGGAGTCTGCTCTAGCCAAGCTCCCCCACCGAGCTGCACATTGGAGAATGTGTGAGGTGGCGTTAGACCAGGAGAACCTGCCTCTGCTGGCTGCTGTGGAGCAGAAGGCTGAGAAGAAGGGCTAGAGCTGATGTTTCGAACATCAAGCCAAGCAATGTGATACACCATCAAACAGTTCAGCTGACTTCTTGTTCTAGAGTGGGGTTAGAGGCAAGAAAGCAGCCTGCAGTCCTGAGAACTCTGAGATAGTGGGGAGCCCAGCACCCTACCCCACCACATCTCCACCCAGCTGTCTATCATTGGCTTAATATTGTTTCTTCAGTTCTGAGATGAAAAATGATCTTTTCCCACGTTTCATGTGTATATGTGTGCATATATGTATATGTGTGTTGGCCTATGTGGAGGTATATGAGTGCATGAATGTGTATGCACATGAGTATACACTTGCATGTGACACCTAGATTCTACCTTATTTAGTAAGCCAGACTCTGCCAGTCAAACCCAGAGCTTACTGATATGGCTAGTCTGGCTGGCCAGCTTGCTCTGGGGAGGCCCTGCCTCTAACCTCTGAAGGTGATATTATAGGCAGGCTGCCAGTGCCCATCTGGCATTTATGTGGCTTCTGGGGATATGAACTCTAGTCCTCACATGCGTGCTGCAAACACTGACCACTGAGCCATCTCCTCAACTTCCAATATTAAAATTATTTACATATTTTTCTATCTTCAGTATCATGGAGTATCTAATAAAGAATGGCATGTTGTGTTTTAGCAGAAACTATTCCTCCTTGTGAGCAGTCCTTGAGTCTGAAGAAGTCTTAGGAAAGGAGATTTCCCGTGACAAAATCATCCTGCATCACAGAGAAAAGGCTTTGTCCTGCAGAGACTAGTCTTTGGAGAGTAATTAAGAACAGGAAATCCAAGGCAGGGAAAGTTCCAGAAAAGCAATACAGGGCTCTGTAGTCCTCACACTGTGTGACAATAACAACTACATGCGCTAAATGAGAATGGCAAAGGTTCCTTGAGCCTCACAGTTTGGAGGTGCCGTTCAATGACGGACTGACCTGTTTGGGGACTTGTTACATGGTCTGCCCAGGGTGATTTTTGTTCACCTGATACAGCTAGAGTCATTTGGGAAGAGAGAACCTCAATTGAGAAAATGCTCCCACCAGGTTGGCCTGTGTGCAAGCCCATGGGGCATTTTCTTGATTAATGATGGACATGGGAGGGCTCAGTTCATTGTGGGTAGTACATGGGTAGGTGGTCCTGGGTTCTACATGAAAGCAGGCTGAGCAAGCCACAAAGAACAAGCCAGCTCCCCCTGTGGCCTCTGCATCCGCTCCTGCCTTCAGGTTCCTGCCCTGTTTGAGTTCCTGCCCTGACTTCCTTCAGTGATGGAGTATGGCCTGTGAGGTGTAAGGGGAAATAAATCCTTTCCTTCCCAAGCTGGTCTTGATCATGGTATTTAGGCATAGTAATAGCAACCCCAACTAAAACATATGATAAACAATATGTTTTATGATTGTTGCTGATAATTTTTTATTACTTACTGTTAGGTACACAAGCATACTTGTGGAAGACAGAGCACAGCTTCCCGGTGTCCGTTCTCTCCTTCTGCCATGTGGGTTCTGGGAACTGAATTCAGGTCGGGTTTCCCAGTCAGTTCCTTTGGTAAACCATCTCACCAGCTTTATAGGCAGCATTTTCCTTGCTAAACAACCTTAGGCAGGTTGGCTGACGACCGCTAATAATTTGTACCTTACTTCCTTCTGTGGAACATGGGCTAACTGTAGTTTCTGCCATTCATGAAGTTAAGATGAACGATCCATTGATGGTGGTGCTGATGGTGGGGTGGGGGTTAAATTTGTCGTCATCATCCCTCCAGATGATGAGCTTCTCTCTTCTCTTCACCTTGTGCCCTTTTCTACCTCTGCAGACCACGGGGATGGGCACATGCTGTGATTTCAGGTCACAGGACAATGTCAGGTCTGACTGACCTTTGACCCCAGAATAGAGTATTGATTCAGCTGTTGGTCTGAGTCATCGGTGGCTGATGTCAATAGCAGAGGAGTCCTGGGTCCTGGGTCCCCAGATGTGGTGATGTGTGTGGGTCTGGCTGCTGGCATGGACAGAGCAGTATCGTGAGTGCACATGTTCTGTGCTGGCCAGGTGAGAACCAGAGGCCCACTGAGAAGCACAATGCTGGGTATCAGGTATGACAGGTGGTGGCTGTCAACATGAATGTTGTAGTCCAAGACCAGATGTGCAGAATCTGCTGACATTTTTTCCCTGGTCAGCTGGGCTGGGAGAGGTCATCAACTTGCAAGGCTGTGGGTTCTCCAGGACTAGGCCGGATGCCTGCCAACTGATCCTAAGAGTGGATGGTGGGGCTGTGGGATGATGCTGAAGATGGGGAACAGACAGTGAATAGGGAGCTTTGAGAGGTCTCCGATCCACTAGGACACTGGTTCAGGGTCTGCTGAGTCAAGTCCCAGGTTCTGATTTGGGGTAGAGGGCAAATATGGACACCCGATCCCGGCTGTGTGCCTCAGGAGGTCCCTTCATTTCTCTGAGCCTCTGGTTCAACAAACTCAGACACACAACCCAATGAGTGAGTGAATTTACATGAGCAGGTGCCTGGTAGGTTTCCCACTGTGACACAATGGGGACACATTATGACACAGTGCTCTACCAACAGCAGTACAGAGCTGCAGCCACTACTTCCCAGGGACCGGATCTTTCTCCTGTGCCAGAGTGTTTTACCACTGTCTGTCACTCAGTCACCTAGTCATTCAACAGAGACTTACAGCACACCCCCAGAGTGCCAGCCACAGGCCTGATTTCACAGCACCTCGGCCCTTACGTAAGCCGCGTCACCTGTCGCCGCTCACCAGAGGGTTCCAGTGCATACATAAACCACGGCGGGGTAGGGATTGCCTCACATGTCTGGGAAACTCTACCGCAACTGGCTTGCAGCCACATTTCTGTCTCGCCAGCCAAGAAGGGGGACGGGGGTGTGGAAATTCCGGCAGCCCAAGCTCTGTGCAAGAGATCAGACATGCAAGAGAGAAGGAGGTATGGAAGGGCGGGGTGGCTCCATTAGGCTGTGCTTCTCATGTTTCTGCCACCCAAGGTGTGGTACAGTTTTCCACCTGTTTTCAGAGTGTTTTAGAAAAAATGGTATATGTATGTGTGTTAGCACATGAGTGGTGTGTGTGAGTGGTGTGTGTGTGCTGCGGGTGTGCTGGGGGTGCCTGGTTCATAGATGGTACCTGTCCCTGCCACTGCATCTTCATCTGGTGGACAAGGACACAAGCTACCCCGGGGCCTCTTTCATAAGCTCTCATGTGTTTGTGAGATCTCCTTCATTATGTAATCACCCCTCAGCCCCACCTCTTAGAATCATCCCAGTGGGAGTTAGGACCCCAACAGAGAAATGTCTTACAAGGAGATAGAAGCATTCAGTCCACAGCAGACTTTCTGTCTGCTTTTTGGGGGTGCTAAGGTTGTTTCTCAGGGCTTTGTGTGCTCGGAAATTGCTCTTCCACATAGGCACGCTGTCAGTCTCAGCCTTACTGGTGTATCAGAGGACATTGTCGCCCAGGCATTTCCTGTATCAATGTAACGCACCTAATTAGAAAGGTGTAATGGAAGGTAGGATATCTCCACAGGAGGAGCCACGGCAGGACAGGTGCAGAAAGAGCAGCACCGGAATAGAGCGAGCATGAAAAGTGTTAAGAGGAAGCGAGCAAGTGACTTCGCCGGGCTGCTGGACTCCTTCATCAGGGAACTGGCCACTTTGGATAACTTGGGGTGAAGAAGTGAGGTGGAGTTACTCAGAATTGGCAGGATGGGGCCGCTAGGTTAGTAATAGAGGACAGGTGAGGGCTGGTGGGATAGTCCCTCCTCCACAAGGGATATCTAAAGTGTGACGTGTGACGGGACCAGGGAGGTGGCCTGCAGGTGTGCAAACAGGATACAAGGTTTTGAGGAGAACAGGGTGGGGGGCAGGGTCAAGGACAACAGGAAGATTTGAACCTGGGCAACTGAAAAACTGAGTCTCTTGAAACTCATGAAACCGCAGTTCATGAAGCACGTTTGGAAATGATTGAGGAAGGCATCAACTTCTGGTGGAGGAGAGAGAGAGAGAAAGAGAGAAAGAGAGACTTAAGAAAGGAAGGCTTTACTTAGGCTCCCAGCTAGAGGACACAACCCATCATGGTGGGGGAGTCACGGTAGCAGGGGTGTGACAGAGCTGTCCACACTGCGTCTGCAGTCCAGAAGCAGAGAGGCAGGGAGAGGCCATGGCTGGGTTCATCTTCCTTTCTCCTCTTCATTTACTTTAGAGACCCAGCCGGTGGAACAGTCCCACTCATAGTGGTCATGTGTCTTCGTGCATCAATTAACCCAAGCCCGGCTCTGTTTCCTTGGGGATTCTAGTTCCTGTTGAGTTGATGGTATTCACCACATGGCTATAGTGTTAGGACCCCCCTTGCTAGATCTCAGAAACCCTGGCATGCCTAGCTCACAGTCCTGGAGTGAAGAGCTTAGGGGAGCAGACTTCACCTTTTTGGGAATGCCTTTTGGACCTGGGACATAGTCCAGGGGCATATGTTCTGGACTGCTGTGATTACGCAGAAAATGAGTGTCTATTGATTGTGTCAACCGGTGCAATGCTGACTTGGGAAACGTTAAGCTTGACTCCCTACGTGAACAATGCCGACTGCTTTGCCCACATGGCTCATTTCAGAACAATGAAACTAATTTTCTTTTATAGTTCTGAGAACAATTCTCCAGAAGAAATTCCAAAAATATTTTGAACAGCGGCTGTGTTCTCTGGATTGGCCGTGTGCCACCCCAAGGTGACTCCTGTGCAGGGAATTCTGCTCCCTGGGAGGCAGATGTCCTGGGTGGCCTTTAGAGTGAGGTTTTGGTAGCATTGGAGTCATCACTATTATGTTCACACTGCTCCTCTGCTAACTAAAAACACCAGTTAATTACTGGCAAGTCTAACAGCAGCAGGGATGAGTCAAGCTGGACCTGCTCACAGCAACACTCCCCATTCAGAGGGATGCACGTGTGCACTCGCTTTCACGAGAAAGACAGTTCCTCCTCCTCACTCAAGCTCTGGCAGTCTTACTTTGTTGGTCCATGAGATAAATTTTGCCATCCTTTCAGGTTTATAGCTAATTTAATTCTACTTTATTTATTTATAAAACACCAAGGAAGAAAAATCTTATTAATTAATTGTAAATACCTAAAATATTTTATGAACATTGGAAAAAAAAAGAGAAAAAAAGAACTCTTCAAATTTATTATTCTGTCAGCCTCCCTCCAGAATCTTTCAGGATGTCAGACTCACATCTTTTTCATAGATTTGTTTCTGTCCTGCCTGGAGTCCACAGGTTCTTTTTGTAGACTCTTTTTTCTCCCTTAGACAACAACTGAATTCTAATATGCTGATTTTGACTCCTCTTGGGACTAGCAGGCTCTTAAAGGCGTCCGTAATGGATATGGAGAACCAGAGTGCTTTATCCAGTGGTTTGCAGCTGTTTGTGGCTTCATTTGCATAGTCCCATCAGCTGATCGCCGCCAACCGCAGACACCTTCCCTGCATGCCAGTTAATTTATGGCATTGTTGAGAAGTGGCGGCCTAAACAACTCGTCAGGAAACCGCTCCCCCTCGTTTGTTCTCTCATCAGACCTGGAAAAGCACTGTCGATCATTTAGAGATGACAAAGACGGGAGCCGTAAAAGGCGAGAGTAGAGCTATTTCATCGTGTTATTGTACGGCTTGCCTTTGATGGATCAGCCTCCGCGGAGGGGAAGGGCCTTCGGATGGATAAGCCTTCCTTTCCCAACAGAACAAGAAGAAGCCCCAACAGCAGAAGGACAGGAGGCTCTTTTGTCATCTCCCCTCTCCCATGTGACAAGCCTGGGTATCAGGATGCAGCAAAGAAGTATTGCTCCTCAGGATGACCTTGAACCTGAGTAGGAAGATGAGTCATTCAAATGATGGAAACTAGAGAACATAAAACCATCATGGCCTGGTCAACCACGCACAAGGTTCCAGAGCCACCTTTCTGAGCCAATACACTTTCTTTGTCTCTCTATGACTGTCCTCAGTTTCCTGTGAGCAAGATGTATATATATGTGTGTGTATGTATGTATATATATATCCAAAATCCCTCTTTAGTATCTGAAGAGTCCATGAATATGGCTACTGCATTTGCCAGCCTTCTGCACCATGCTGGTTCTGGCTGGCTGGGACAGAGGACCATCACTGGGTATTTTTCCTCTGGCTCTTCTGTTTCATATAGGTAAACCATACCCATGCTGAAAATGCAATTCAGTTCTCTCTAAGCAGAGGGAGAAAGAGACAGGGCATTCGGTATCTTTATCGACACTGAGTGCTTCTGCCACCTTAAATCAATTAATTCCTTCTGATGATTCACCAAGTACCTGGCCGTGTACCAGCTGCCCTGGGGCACGTTAACAGGCCAAGAGGAAATAGCATATGAGTCTTTCAAGGTTATGCTGAGTTATTTCTCCTTCCACCCCATTCTTACCTTTGGTCAACATAGTCTTGGTGTCCTGTACTTGCCCCAAACCCCTCCCCTTTACATTCCCAGTGTGCAGCACTAGACAGAAGACATTGTCTGGCAAGTTGTGACAAGCTTTCAGAGAAGAGTTGAGTCAATCTCTAGGATGGGGAGCCCAGGCAGCAACAAACTAGTCATCCACACGCTTCCTCTATTGGTGAGTGACAGGCACCTGTAGATGAATTCCTAAACAGTCTCATTAAATAAACACAGAGTCAAATACAGAGGTAATAGCCAAAGAGATCAGAGCAATAGCCACGACTAGCCTTAGCTTACCACCAGCAGTAGCTTCCACAGAGAGAGCTTCTTCTGTGTAACCTGTTTTTATTGCCTTCCTATTCTGCCTTCTCATTGGTTCTAAGCCCAGCTACATGGCTTACTCGTCACTGGCTATCTATACAGACCTCCAGGTCTCTATGGTTGGCACTGGGATTAAAGGCTTGTGTCACCACACTTGGCTGTGTCCTTGACCACACAGAGACTCTGCCTGCCATGTGATTGGATTAAGGGTGTGGGCTACCCACTGCCTGACTTCTGTTTATGGCTATTTGACCTCTGATCTCCAGGCAACTTTATTTATTAACATACAAATAAAATATCACATTTCAGCACAAATAAAGTATCACCACAGGCACCCTCACTTCCGTATAGCTAGATGGTACCCTGGGGCTGAGAGCAGTGACTTAGGGCAATGTGTGCTTAGCTGAAATGCTGAGTCTCTGTTCACAACACCTGGCCTAGGTTACTGTGCTCTGGGGGCCCTGCAGTAGCCCAGCTGCAGCAGGCCAACACTACATCCTTGAGGGTTGACTTGAAATTGGCTTAGAGACCATGGTCAGTGGTAGATACAAGATCAGAGAAGGGACAGTTGGGGTCCAGCTTTTGGGGGGTCAGTGGAAGAGAGACATCTGGCTCTGATGGAAGAAAATCTTCATGTCTTAAACTCTAAGGTCACTTTAGGGTACCAAGGGGAGAGGGGCTGAAGAGACCCAGGAGACTGCAGTTACCAGCTTCAGATGGTGAGGAAATGTGCCGTAGAGGAACGAAGCTAGACATGGTCATCCAATACTAAGTGTGTGGCATAAAAGCAGCGCCAGATTTTCTTAATTGTGACTAGAACGGGAGCTGCGCTGGTCAGTTGGTCTGGGATTCTTTGATTTAACTTGTGTTTTCGTCCTCTTTTGCAACTGCTCTCAACACCCTTTCACTCTGTGCTTGTGGGAGGGTTCACCAGGACAGCTATGCCAGGAGCCAGCTGGGAGAGGTTCTGGAACTACCCCTCATGGTGCCCACAGCATCAGGTGGGGCTGGAATCCACTGCGCTGCCTAAGTCTAGGGGGTTTTTTTTGTGTGAAAGCCTCATTCTGTTAAGAGAAAGGTGACAAGGAGCCAGCATCATTTGGGGAGGCCCGGGGATGTTCTCATTCTTGTGTTAGTGAGGAGAACTCAGACGTGAGGATGGGGGTGGAGGGTTTTCTGTGTGTCTCTCTGGCTTAGCAGAGTCCGTTTCTCTCTGAAGAAATTATTTCAGATCTTGGGTCCTTCCTGGCTGGAGGGAGTGGCAGACTCTGAGGATATGGCATCTCCACTGCACAGGCCCCTGGTATTTTCCATCCTTTCGCTCATCTTCATTCTATTCATATATTTGCCCCAGATGAGTGGGTAATGGGTCAGACCCCAGTCATTAGGAATACCCCACTTTGTATGGAAGCCCCACCACTGGGACAGCTAAATGGTGCTAAAAGTGTCAGTGGTATTTTCCACACACAAGTCCAGCACTGGCGTTCAGAACTTATTAGAATAAATGCACCTTTCCAGGGTAGAGACCAAACCTCAAAGTCTTTATAAAGAGAGCAAAGAAAACGGCATTTCATCTTTCAGAAAACCATGAAAATTCTGTCTGTAAGCGACCAGATGCTAGAAAATGCCTAATGGATGAATTGAGAAAAAGCAACATGACTCAAAACTGCTAATGTACTTGTGGCATGCCTGCCCACACTTTGCTGTCTAAAGTTATCGACGTTCAACCCCATGAGACTTCTGTGTCTCCACTGAGCTTAATTTCTCTCCTGCCGACTTCTCCCACCCTCCCCCAGCACCACTGTTACCCAATCTTCCAGTCCTGTCCCTTGAAGAAAAAAAAAAAAAACTGCAAAGATTATTGAAATACCTGTTCTCAAGGGCAGGGAGCTCCAAGGGGGTCATCTGAGTCATCATATGGCAGAACATGCAGGAAGCTTAATTGAATCTCATCAGTACTGTCTGTGGTGGTTAGACACACTCAATTTGCACAGCCAAATCTCTCCTGCTATGGGATGTCTTTCTGTATGCTGTGAATATGTGCTGCTCTCATTGGCTAACAAATAAAGCTGTTTTAGCTCATGCAAGGCAGCTTAGAGGCAGGCGGGAAATCCAAGCAGAGATATGGAGAGAAGAAAGGAAAGTAGGGAGAGATGCCTAGCTGCCACCCAAGGAGCAGCAAGATACCAGCAGACCGGTAACGCCATGACCACAAGGCAACTTAAAGATGAATGGAAGTGGTTTAAGTTATAAGAAGTAGTTTAAGTTAGCTAGCAAGAAGCTTGAGCCATAGGCCTTCCAGTTTGTAATTAATATAAGCCTCTGAATGATTATTTTATAAGCGGCCGTGGGACCATGGGGCTGGGCGAGACACAGCAAAACTTTCAGCTACACCCTCCATTAAAAATTCCTAGGTTGTAGACACAGAAGCACTTTTCCCACATCTGCCAATGACAACTCCAATGTAGAGTGAAACTCATTGGTGTGGTCTTCCACTATGACATCTTCCCCCTCCTACCAAGAAGTAGAATTCAGTTTTCTGAGGTATTGCTTTAATTCTCCATAATCAAAATAAAAATACTCTGTAACATGGAGTGATGCCATTTGTGGTGATGCCATTCTTACTTTCCAGTGCCTGGAAGAAAGTGCATGGCCATCATCCTTAGTCTCATCGGACCCAAAGCTATTAGCCATGACTATACATAGAAAACTCATAATCGCCTGCTAGATTTGACCCAAAGTCCATGAAGTGCAGGCATTACATTACTGCAGGTGTAATTTCCCTTCTGACTGCCAAGCAGTCTTCTCTCATTTCATTCAACAAATGTTTATAAAGAGCCTGTCCCAGGCCACAGCTGTGCATGAAACATGAGGCCCAGGGCTCCTTGGAGTTCACAGTGTCAAAATGGAGAGAGGCATTAGACAGTCACTGAGATTAGTCTGAAGCTATCCCTGTGACGGCTGTAGAAGTCAGGGAAGGTCACTGCAACAAGTATGGCAGAGATCCAACTCATGCCTAACTTGGAGACTCCTCCCCCAAAAGAGAAGCCCTTCAAGGCCTTCTTCTTTTCCTTGATATTTATCTGAACCCATCAAGTCCTATGCTGGAGTTACAGAGATAAAAAGATGAGCTAGACATGCTTGTTATCCTCAGGGGACTCCATACTCCAGTATGAAAGACAGCCAACTTCTGTCACACCACTGAATGCTCTTTACCATGAAAGTAATGTACTTATATGTTCTCTCAGAAAGAGGAGCTGAGTGGTCCCCATAGGAGGGCTGGCAGAACCCCCTGATCTTGTGGGAATGCACAGCCACAGGAGAAAGATGTCACTGGCCATTGAGTAACAGGGAGCCCCATCAGGGAACAGAAAGAAGAAAGGAAAGAAAGCAAGCTGCTTAGCTAGACATGGGCCCTTACCACAAATAACACTAACTATGGCTTATGGCCTCTATCTCCTGTCTTCTTCCTCCTGTCCTGTGTACTGGGACCAAACCCTGCACAGATTCTGTGTCATAATTCAGAAAGCCACTCACTAGCTCCATTTGGATACTGCTGGGACTTAGCCCTGCCTCCTTTCACACCAGAGGATGAAGAATATAGGAGTTTCTCCATCACAACTCCCTGTTTACACTTTGGTAGGGTTGAAGCAAACTGTGGGGACAAGAACTCAAGAGCCTGGCAAATTAGACCAGTACTTGTCGGGAATAGGGTTTCAGCCATAGGCTAAGCTATAACTGTGACATTTTTGCACCCAAACAGCCTTTTCCCCGCGTCTTTTAAGTAGGCTGTGCTGGGTCAGCCTTCATTTCATTGCTGGGACATAAGGTCTCAGAGAGGTGAGATAATGTACCTAATACCCACCGTGTGCTACTCACACACAGGTTTGCCCACAGTCTAGCTACTCCATCAGCATCTATTATGTCCCCATTTCCCATTGAGTGCCCCACAGGTCTCTGATGATTCATGTGGTTGAAACATCATTTATTAGTTAATCTTCTCATTGCTTCAAAACACCTGACAAAACCACCTTCCAGGAGGAAGAGTTTGTTGAGACTCAAAGTTCAGGGTGATACAGTCCATCATGGCAGTCAGGGTGTGGAGGCAGAGGTGGGACATGGCCAGGCTCATGAATCCCGAATCCAGTCAGGAAGCAAAGAGTCATGAATGCCAGGCTCCTGCTCAGCCTCCTTTTTCATGTTAATACAAT